TATCCTCCAAGTCGGCACGATACGTCGAAAAATCATTTCCCATAAGCCGAGGTACAACGTAACCCGCGTTCCACGGAGATGGAGAGCGGCGAGCTTTTAAATATTTATCGACGCCCGCCCGATTCGTTTGCAGCAAGAAATCGCGATTCCGATTTTCGCAGCCGAGGAAACGCACGGCAAAAGCGCGGCTGATTCGCGAAGTGTAATGCCCCGGCGCGGGGCGGCGCGGGGCGAGATGCACCTAGGCGAAAAGTTTGCCGGCGCAGCGAATACGTTTAACGAATGTAATGGGTTCACCCGCTTAAACGCTACGGTCTAATCAAGAAAGTGGTTTCCCCCGATGAACTCTCCGCGCGGAAATCCTTCTCGTTCTCTCCGTCCGGCCCGGTTCAAGCCGCGCTGATTGACGATGAATAAAGGAAATTATGCTGCGGTGAGCTTTTATTCGCCGCACCGGCTAAAAAGCAACGTCATTACCGATCCACGAACGACGGTGTATATACTATAAATCCTGTTCCAGAATCCAAATCGGGCAAGAGAGAGCCTTAATTCTGAAAAAGATTTCGAAATCGCGGCGGATAGAGATATACGATCTGGTAAACGCGAAACGGATTCAATTTGGCTTAATAAAAATATAGTTGGCTAGCCGGTGGTCCCGAGTCGTGCAATAACATCTCGTAATACACGACGCTTTATGCAATTTAATTATGCTAATGACCGGACGATAACGAAACGTGGAATATGCGGAATTTAATGGATAAACAGATTTTTGCTAGTATATATGTGTATCGAGAGCCATATCTGCGACGCGGATATAACGTAACCGAAATTTAATACTGTGACTACAACGGCGTATTGTGAAATTTATAGTCCTGGATTCCATGCGTTTCCATATTTTCGCTATGCGATAGCAAAACATTTTCGGTAAAGCGTGCATCGGTCTACCTGACCTGGCCATCTTTAAAATACATACAAAATGAACAAATTTTTTTTCTGATTTTGACAATTTTGTTCATTTTTGCGCTAGATTTTTATACTAGATGTTTTTATAAAAATTGTATTCTCTATCAATTCTCTCCTTTATAGATAAAATTATTGTGACAGTTTATTGATTTTTGAAAAGTGTCAAGTTCGAGATGTACGTTTCGAGCGTATATAAAAATATGCTATTGCATTACACGTTTATGCTATTGATGCCGTTGAAAAAGCGATCTTTCTATGAAAAGATACGGATTTCTTGACGGAAGGTATTATTCATTAAAACAAACATTATTTCATCTTCCTTTGACGGACATATATACTGTCTTGCGGTATCCATTACGCGAAGTTACACGATATATGAAGCGTTGATGTGGATAATGTTTTTTGCGCATGCGAAATTGAAAGCGGATATTCAGTAGCAGCCGATGTGCTTTATAAAAATTATGCTCTCTTTTTTATTTTTTTACAACTAATATAAAGTATCTTAGACGCTTTTCCTTTTGGATATAAATTTTATCCCTTTGAAAACAGTTTTTCTCTGCTATAATGATATATCTTTTCTGTTTTTTTCATTTTTAATATTAATAACTTTATAAATATAAATTAAATAGTTATTAAAGTAGCTATTAGTAAAGACTAGAGAAGTTAATTTTTTTATGAAATCAAAGGAAAAATAAAGAATTTTTTGATTAATCTATATTTCTAAAACCTCTTGAGATTTTTTAATTTTTTATCGTACTGTCTATAACCAAAGCCATATGACTTCATAAATTATAAAAGATATCATCGAAAGAATATAAAATCTGCGAGAATATTAGAATTTAACTATTTTACTCCTCATTACTTGCTGAAAGCCTCAAGTTGAGAGATTGCCTTATGAAAGTCACTAACTTAGTAAAATAACCAAGATGAAGTGCTATGAACGATATGTGGCAACGAAAAGAAAGAGTAATTATTTGTTACCTCCGTTTAGTGTGTGTAGTTTAGCTTAACATTATTAACTATTAACCATTAATTTCTATCAAAATTTAAATAAAATATATATACATTATCTTTATATGTATACATACATACTTATATTTTCATACTTATATAT